GTTTCAAACGTATTAAGAGTGAAAAATGACTCAGGGATATATTAAGATTAAAGAGAGTGACACCGGACAGAATGGGTAAATCCAGCTGGACAGAAGGTTGGGTTCCAGGGCTGGCCAAGAAGAACAAACGAGCTAGAGTACACAACATGGCTGCTACCAAAGAGGCAATGAGGTAGCTTAGAGCTAACAATGCTAGTTAGTAAAAATTGTAGTAGCCTAACTCTTCATAAGTAGAAAAAGAAGAACACAGTAACACACAGCATACAGTAGATCGTTCAGTCAGGCTCAATAAGCATAAACATTTAGTTGAGAAATCTTACTTAAAAACCTTCAGCAGCTGAATCAAGAAGCTTCTTTCAGATATAGCACAAACAACATATGTAAAATATCTATTCTATCTACCTCTTGCCCAAGCAGAGATTCTGTTCACCATTATACCGTATGAAAGAGGAGAATGGATGATCGGAGGGGACGGGAGTTTGGTTCTGTTCTGGAGTCCAACTCTGTTCTGTTGGTTTTGTTCCGTGAATATAGTCTTACTCGATTAGGTCTGGGAACACAGTCTGCTCATCCAACAGTTAGCACTCAAAGAGACTTGAATTGTTCTGATGAAAACACCAGAATCAAACTTGCTTAATTTTCGAAACTCACAGTGTCATGAAGACGAGGACAGATGGACCCAGTATTCAAGGAGAGACAGACAGTGGGCAAGTTCAAAATGTTTATTAAATGAACAAAAACTAAAAGGGGAGCTGCTAGGATCTGTAGCATGCGGCGACTGCAGGTGGGGGGTCGGGGCACCGCCCAAACTCAGACACTTCACCAGTGGGAGAAAAACAGGCAAGTGACCACGGTCATTTGACAGAAGATGACCATCTGAGTTGGTCACCTACCTGGTCTAACAGTCCAGTCCAAGAGCGTCCCCAGTGCTGCAGTCCCAGAGGTCTAGCAGGAAGCCGATCCTGGTCAGGGATCCAGAACAGACAGGAACAGACAAAACAGGCAGGATCCAGGGATCCAGGCCTCCAGGCCTCGTAGAGCTCCCAGGCAGGTTCAGAGTTCAACAGAGTCCGAAGCATGACCAGGCGGTCACGCACAGGAGCGGACAGAATCATGTGCAGACGGTGAAAGCTCAGTGGAAGAGGGTAGCCGAGACAGGACGTGGAACCAGAACTGAATGCAGGACCTTTAAACTGGTCTCCAGCTTGGAGCCAGGCTTACTTGGATAAAAACTGAACCTCCCCGCGTACAGAGCCAAAAACCCAGAGGGCTCAGCAGGGGAGATACAGTGGACGAGCAGGAGACGAGACAAGCACAAAACTGAACATGAACCGTGGCATCAAATGAACAGAACTGGACAGACTAACAGAAAAAACAAATAATGATCTGGCCCTGAATGCTCAGGCTGAACAGAAATAAAAACCAAAGGAAACAGGTGAGAGGAATAAATGATAATTGAGGCAGGGAGGGAAAACGACAGGTGAAAGAAAAAAACAATTAAGGGAGAGCAAACCGCCAGATCATGACACACAGTAGCCTTGGAATAGAGGGTCCCCTTAAGGCAGTGGATAGCAGCGGCTCAGACGGCAGCAACACAGCCTCATACATGCTGCACATGCATGGTTCTTCATTGCGCTGTTGTACTGCAGAATTTCTCTTGCTGGATCAGGGTCTCCAAATGATCTTTACTGTCACCTCTCAATCACACTGAACTGCTAGCATGGGGAAATGCACTGTTATTTCACATGTTATTCAGATTTTACTCCTGTATTTTCAAGATGCCAGACTGTCATTGCACTCCACAAATGGGTGACCAGCCTTCTGCATAAACTAATATAAAATAATTTATTAATAAAAATGTATCTGATTATTGGTGGAGGTGATAATACACCAATAATAACATATGGAAATGTCATTGATTTAGTGCAGTAAAATAGAGAAATTGTAACACAAAGTGTTAAAATGCAGCAATACCATAACAGAGAGAAAGAAAAATAAAATGTCAGATGTTCTGCAAACACTGAATTCAAGCCATAGTACAGTATATAGTGAGGACGGTGAAGCATGGTGGCGCAACCGTCCTGAGATTTGGATGTTTCTGGTTCTGCTATATGCTGAAGCTGAATGTCCTTGAAATAGGTTTTTTTGTGAGATAATGACCCCAACCACACCAGCAAGCAAGCAAAGCCTTGGTAACAGACAAATAGATTTCAAATAATGGAATGGCCAGCACAATCTCCGGATATATATCCCATAGAAAATGTTTAGGCTGAAAAAACAAAATGCTGTGTATGAGGCAAAAACTGAAAATAAATTGTTTAACTAAATATTACTTTATGATTCTTAGTAAAGTTTCATCTTCAAGCATTCCTTAGTTTTTACAATACATTTTTTGAGTTGGAAAGAAAGATTCCAACACTGCAATTTTTTTAAAATTAGATTTCTTTACTTTTTGTAAACTACCTCTATTAAATTAATTTACCTCTTCCAATGTTCTTGTTTTAAAGTTAAAGAAGCATTTTTCCCAATTCATTTGTGTTGGTTAATCTACAATTTATTTGAAGAGTTTTGAGATTTACTCACATTTTGAAATATGTTGCTAATACCATGAACGTAAAAAACGTAAAAAACGTAAGGCAATCTTACGCATTTTTATATGGTAACTTGAATTAGCTGATTATCATTTTGCAGAAAGGTTAAACATTTCAGGAGTTTGATTGAAGGCTGTGGAAAACTAAAATGGTTTTAGCAGCCTTGGTGGGTGTCTTAATGCAAATGTTTTTCATAGATCCGCATTCAATAAATTAATTGCAGATCTATGAGTAAAGGTTTCACGGAATTTATACATTTAATGTTCACCAAGCATTTATTTTTTCCTTTTTTTTTAAAGCTGCTTGTTTCCAATAAGTGAGGCAAAAACTCTATTTGCCTGTATGGGAGCTTTAGATATCACTGTGTTTCCTTTTTAAATTAATAGATTAAAAATGTATTTGTTTTTGTTTTTCATGTACTACTTTTTTAAATGGAAAAGATATATTTGACCTTTGAACAAATGAAACTCAACCGAATAAAGATTTTAAATAAAAATGAAAAATCAGACAAAATGTTGGAACTACAGAGGTTTATTGACAAACAGATCACTAATTTTACCTTCTTAGGCAAGGCAAAGGCAAGGCAAATGTATTTGTATAGCACAATTCAGTACAAAGACAATGCAAAGTGCTTTACATGATTAAAATACAGGAAGATAAAACAGAATCAAAGCAAGTAGGAAAAAATAAAAAAAAATAAATAAAATAAAACAAAAATGCAGAAACAAAAAAAGAATATTAAAAACATTAAAAACAGTTGGATTAAAGAAAACTTGTTTTTGTTGAATTGTTTAA